ATGGTTGAGGAACTAACGGTAAAAAGTTACAATGGTTCGAGCTTTAATATTGGTACATCAAATAGTCAAGTGCAAATGATTAATAATCAACAGAAACATTGGCATAATCTTTATTAGATGACAAATAATTCTGGAAACGGAAATTCATTAAGTGATATTGGGCTGATAAGTAGTGGCCAGGCTACATCTAGTGCTTGGGAAGATTTTGGATCTACATCTTTTCCGGAGTTATTAGCTAGAAAATCACATAGTGATGGTCAGAGCAATGTCATCGAACACTTGGCAGCTACTGAGAGTAAATAGGGTGCAGGTGATGTTCATCGAGGAATACAGACAAAAGTATTATCCAAATCAGGGTTTGCGGAGTATTTTATTAAAAATTCATTGAAGAGTAAGGGTGTTGTACATAAAGGTCCATCTTCGGATCGCTTCTATGTTCAGCCTAAAGAGAAAAATCAGGTAAAAGCTGGCAGTGGTGCAAATCAGAATTGGATTAAGACTAGCATTGGCGCCAATCAGAATGAAATGAAGACCAGCACTGGTATAGATCAGAAACAAATGAAGACTGGTATTGGTGCTCAGTCAAACTCTAATAAATCAGTCAAGTATGATTCCAAAACTGCAAACTTTCCATTTCACAGCGATGCTTCTGTGCCTAAGTCTAGCATGTCTGAATGTGACGGCGTAACATTGAGAGAATGGTTAAAATCTGGCCAGCGCAAAGGAGGAAAAGTGGAAAGTTTTACTATATTTAGAAAGATAGTGGATTTGGTGGATGAATCTCACTCTCGGGGAATTGCATTGCATAACCTTTGTCCATCTTACATTAAATTGTTACCATCAAATCAGGTCATGTACATTGGGTTACCTACTCAAAAACAGACGACAGACAGTGTTGTAAATCCTGAAGTTCTTGACTTAGATAATTCTTTTAATAAAAAAAGGGTGTCTGAGCAAGTAACATCTTCCTCTATTGATATGGAGTCCAAGAAACAAAAAATTGATGAGAGTTTGAGGGTTACTGGGAGTGACTTGTGTGTTGAGGATGCTAGTCATCATAAAGTTCAAATTCCACAATATGAGAAAAATAACCGATTTTCTTCGTATAATTTTGGGAGAATGTCTAGCATCCCTTGTGTATCTAATACATGTGAATTTTCATCTACATCTTTATGTGAAAGATGGGAAATAAGTGGTACGCAAGTCTTGAGGGAGGTTGCACAACATCATCAAACATCTACTGCCTCGGTGTACTCCTTCTTGAGTTACTAGGTCATTTTGACTCTGAAAAAGCACCATTCAAACAAGAACAGGGATTTTCTTTACCTCCTCCCTCAAGCATATCAAACATTCTCCAGGTCCCCCGATCATCATCACCAAAGTACATGAAATAAGAGAGTTTCAGATACGCATCATTTCGAAAAAGACAACCAGAAAAATAGAGACAGAGATTGAAAGGTTTACCTTGCAAACACCTGAGACCGCTGTTCTCCGTCACCGGTTTTTTTGTGAAGGCCTCGCCAAACGCGTCAAACACGAATTCCCCCCTCTGGACTGTTAACTTCTTTGGGCCCAACTCCTTCAATATTCACACCTGTCAAATATCAAACCCAAATTAGTAATTGTTGGGAGAATAACCGATAGAGAGAATATTCATGGAATAATTGGAAGATTCAGGACCAAACGATTGATACACAAAATCAGAGATTTAACACTCATATTATTACAATCACTGAAAAAGGAAAGATTTTAAACCCTCTTCAAACCAAGATAGGAAACCCCAAATCAATCATCAATCAACATTCAATTTGGTTAATCAAACTTTAACACAGAAAATCCCAATTGAAGCCTATATAAGACGAATCAGAAGAGGAGAAAAGGATTCACAAAAAAAAAATCATCATACGGAAATCGCAGCTACCGAAAAATTGAGCGAGGTGACTTATCTCAGTGAGCAAGCGAAATCGCTTCCGACCGCCGCAAGCACCAACCGACGGAACCTCATCATCAGCCGCCACTCCCAAATCCCGGTAAAACCATCATCCATGTTAAAATTTATTGTGCCATTAATGCTTTGATGTGTTGTTGCAGGTTTAAAACGAAAACGAAAACGGAAAAGAAGAAGGAAAAACGAAGATATGTTTGAATCGAAGATGAACAGAGACGACGGAAGAGGAAGGGCGAAAGCGAGAGATCGAAAAGGGGAATTTGGGGATTCGTTCAGGGAATTAGGGTTCATCGTTTTTTTCTCTATGTTGTTAATCTGTGGTTATGTTGTAATCACTTACATTACATACACACACACACCTGTCACACTAACCACGTTTAATCACTCTAATTAATCTAACCTTCATTAATTAACTAATTAACCTTTTTTTTTAAAATAAATCAGTAACTCTTTAATTAATCAAATTAGTTTTTTTCTTTTTTCTTTTTAACTATTTATTTAATTAGTCTAAATAATTCATCCTATTTACCCATTTATTAATCTCAATTTAAACCAATCTCATAATCTCTTTAAATAACTAAAAACAACCTTTAAAAAAAATCTTATCAATTCATTATTAAATTGTTTTTCTAATTAATTAATTTAACCTTTTTCATTTTAATAACATTTTAATCAAATAAGTATTTATTCACTAAAAACCTTTTATAAATAAATCACACCTACTTGTTAATTTATTTATTTGAATAAATTCTGAGCATTTAATTAACTTTTAAAAAAACGAATAATAAAAACTATTTTTATTCTATAACCAACATATTTTAATAATAGCTATAATAAAGTAAATCATTATGGTATTTTATTAAAAAACCTTAGAATTTAATTTATACCGACTTCTCACTTACAAATCAATTCACCTAAATCTACATTTTCTTATAAATCAATCTAACAGAAAATCAATTCAACTCCGCTCCTAAAAATCAAGCAAACGTCGTAAAACTCGATCTAATCGTGCACCCCACCACACACTCACTCTCACACACTTCAGCGCTTTCATGCGTATGTGTATGGCTTTATCATTTCCGCAATTTATTTTACAGTAATTTACATTATTGTAATTTATTTCATCGCATTGCATCCGTCCAAAGGAAAATCCTACACATGATTCAACAAATCGTGTGTAGTGCACTCACATTTGCATCATTCTCCCCTCGATCCTTGATCCCATTCAAGTCGATCACTTAAGATAGATCCTACCCCATAGGAGGACCTTGTCTTTTATCTTACAACATAGAAACAAAAACAATCAACAACACAATACAAACAATCAATTCAAAACAACAAATATTCAAACACAATAGAGAAAAGATGCCAAATCATCTTAAGCGAGATGGAATCTCCACCCCACAACAATACAATCAATATGTAGGGACTTTGCCTTAAGAGAGATAAAGGTGTACCTCGTTGATCCCTATCCGAGTACGTAAGTCCTTTTCTTAAGACGATGCAAAGACTATTTTCCTACAACCTGTGGCGGTTAAATCTCTCTTAAAATGATAACACATCTCTTCTCCTAAAATCAATCAACCAACTACCCTAAACCCGTAGGAACTTTGACCACAGTCAAAGAACTCCTCCAACCCTTTAGGGGAACTACAAATACTCTGATTCCACTCCCGTAAGGATATGTAGGCATAAGATGCAATATCTTATCGAGTATACTTAGAAATAAACCATTAGGTCTTTCAACCATTAAGCAGATAAAAAACACTTAGCAATAAACAAACGTAAAACAAGAGGTTCCTGTAGAGTACTACAGAAACTTAGGATGTTAGTACCTTCCCTAAGTTTAACCAACCCCCGAACCTATAACTCTCTAAACCTTGCATTTGCATTGCATTGTGGGAATTTCGATCTTTATCCCTTCCTTTGGACAAATCAAAGTTCGGTTGCAAAAATGAATTAAAGATTCAAACTAATCAATAGTTTGGTATCCGATTTTCACCGCGACACACATATAATGCACATACAGATGCCACCTCAATTACTTGGCATGAATAGTCCATCATCAACTACAAATATACAATGTGACTCACTGACTCGACACAATGCATGTGATACCAACAAAATCACATACGGTTCATCCTAGAACCCGATTCCCGTCAGAATCCGGATAAGTCGTATACGTTCCTCTGAACTATAACTTATCTCCACAACGACTTCCACATGAAGTTCGGATGAAACTAGGCACCCATCATGGATTTCCACCTAGCCATCTCCACAAGGCACATGACATGAAATGCATGATAACACAATTATGCAATATAATAATTCAAGCATAATTCTCAATCATCAATGATCCACACGAGCCATCTGCTCACTGTAATCCTCCCGGGGATCACCACAGTCGCACAAGATTATCCACATTCGATAATTGTGGCTCACACTCATCAAAGAAACCCCTAAGGGCACACCCACATAATTCCATATTCTCCTGATTTAATTCATTACTAATGATTCTTAAGTTCATTTTAGTCCTATTAAGCCTACCGATTAAACGAAATTGCGTTCCAAACAAAATTTGGACATAAATCACGAAAACTTGGAAAAAGTCATCCCAGACTGTCCATACGCGTACCATACGCGTAGTGCCTGCTATCATACGTGTATCAGACCTCCTTATGCGTATGATCAGAGGCTTAAACCTCCCAAAACCCCTCAGAGTCAAACCTTATGCATAATAATTGTTATTTTTCCAATTTTATCATTTAATTATTACTCTTACACTATTTTCAAGACATTAATAAAACTAATTTAGTAAAAATACAATATATTATCACATTATCATTGTATTCTTAATCTATGTACAAAAATTTTAAACAACCATTTATTTTGATAGGGAAGAAGTATTTAATAAAAAGCTGAGAGGGTTACTTTTGCAATTCTAAAAAAATATGTGGAGTGTCAGTTACAATTTGGGGTACCACGTAGATTCTTTGCCAAATATCCATTCTTCTTCAATTCATTCAGAAGACGAACCAGAACGGAACGAAGAATGCAAGGTTTATCTTCTTCATTATCATGGTCACTTCCATGTTCTTCAAAATTCAAAGTAGTAAAAGCCGCATACGACACACAACAGAGACTCCCTTATAACCCTAACACTCCTAGAAAACTCACCAACAACACTCAAACCCAACCGCAACCTCTTCCTCTCACCACACCACCACCACCACCGCCACTTTCTACGCGCAAGGATCAGTACATTACCGATCTTCTCAAACGCGACACTCCTCTTCCCACCTCCGGTAACTAACTGTTCCACTATCTTCTTTTTCATTGTTCAATTAGCTTCATTTGTTTCCAATTAACGTTTTGCTTGCAGGGAAAATCGAAGAAGAAGAAGAAAGCGAAACCTATTTAGGTTATGAAAGATGGCTTCCAACTCCACCCAAAGTCGTTAAGCCTCGTTCGGTGTTTAATGCTACTGCCTTAGCATATATTGGTGATGGCATTTATGAGGTCATTTTATTTTTCTAGATTTTGTGTTTTTTTATGAAATTAGGTCTAAGATTTGCATAGTTGCTAATGTAAATTGCATTCATTAAAAAAAAATCTTACTGTTTCTTATGATTTTGAAAAAATTGAACATACCTATTGACCGGTTTTCGTATACTTTAGGTACTATATGTTTCATATACTTTAGGGACTAGTTGTTTCATATACTATATTGATATAGTTTACAGAGACGGAATTGAAGAGAGAGTATTAGTTTAGAGATTAAATTGATGGTTTATTCATATCTTATTATGTTTTTTTTTTCTTTCTGAAACTTGCAGCTATATGCTCGTAGGCACTTTTTATTTCCTCCCCTTAGTATTGAAGAATACAATAATCGTGTGATGGCAGTGGTTCGCTGTGAGGCTCAAGTATGATTATTTCCTTCCCTACTTTGTTTTTTGTTTGTTATTTACATTTACTCGCGGAAAGGGACATGGACAATATTTGTTGTAATTCATTGTGTATTAATAGTAACGTATTTTGTTGTGCAATTTTAGAATTTTATATCCATTTTAAACTCATGTCACCCTAATTGAGGTTTAGGAAGTTATTTTTCTTGCTTGGTTTGTTTGGTGTTATAGATATCCCCATCTCAACTCTGTTACTTACCAGTCAATTCATGAGCTTTCCATCCTAAGTATACTCTGTAAAGCTTTATGTCCATGGGATTTTTTATTAGATTGTTTGAAAGAATCATTTTATTATGATTGGGCTGTTAATCTTTTTGTTACAAGTAAATCATGGATTATGGTTATGAAACATGAATTACGCTTTTAATAGTGACAAAAAGACATCATTCAATTTCAAAATGGGAACAAGGGAAATTCATGGATTATGGCTATGAAAGATGAATTACGCTTTTAATAGCAAAAAAAAAAAGACATCATTCAATTTCAAAGTGGGAACAAGGGAAATTCATGGATTATGGTCATGAAATTGAAACACGAATTACACTTTTAATAGTGAAAAAAGACGTCATTCAATTCCAAAGACATCAGGGAAATTCACTTTGATACTGAATTTTCACAATCAAATCATATAGTTAGAGTCCGAGTTTTCCCTAAGTTTGAACTTTCTGAAATATTTTTCATTGTCTGAATGTCATACATACTCTTGGTTTTCACTTTGACTGTTTTTCTGTCCCTTTAATCAGTTTCTGCTTCTATTCTTTTCCCTGTTTCTAAACTAAAACTTTGGTCAAGGAAGCAAAACAATGTGAGTTTGGCTTCAGCCATCCAGTGATGTCCTGTTGGATTTTATTTATCATGAATTATTAACAACAAAAACATGTTTCTAATGTAATAACGTTGTGTATTGTCTTTTTTTGTTTGTTTGCAGGATGCGTTGCTTCAGAAGCTTCTAGACAGTAATTTCTTATCAGATCAAGAGAGGTTAGAATTGTTACTTTCAGGGTCTTGTCTTATCATTCCCCCTCCCACAAAACAAACCTGTTTTTCATTTTTATTATTATATTTAATGGGGTTTTATCTTTTGAAGATTTTAAACAAACAATTGTCTTATCTGCTTATGGTATTTTCTTTAACTGAAATTTATATTTTAAACTTTAAATGCATCCTTGTCTCCAATTATAAATTTGGAGGATCAAAATTATACTAAAGGAATGTTCTGCATCCTATCTTGGAGTTCTATGCTTTAGAAATGTTTACCACTATACATCATGATTGTTGAGTCTTTGCTTGTATATCGTGTGATTTTCAATAATGTGTAATTAAATTATAGAATTTGAATAGTTGCTGGATAGCTACCTTTGAAAGTATGCTTGATTTTTCTCTTCAAGATGATATTCAAGTGAGAACTTTGGTGGGTTTTAAAACTTGGATGTCATTCAAAAGGGATAGTTATCAACAATGATGCGAGCAGAACTGTTAGGAGTATAAATCACCTTATAGTGCTGGTTAGGAGTAACATTATTTGAATAAAAACCATAGTACAAAATTAAATGTTCTCATGATTTATTTGTGAGCCAAAAAGAGGTCTTTGAAATTTTGGAAATATTATCATGCAAAGTAAGAACAAAACCTATTTAATTAGAGAAAGTACATCCAAATATAGTTGGAATACGATAGTGCAATATAGTAAGTCGTTTAACTATGAAATCAAATGAATATCATTGATTAAGCATTAAAGAAGATGCTTTTATGCTTTTTGCATGTTGAAGTGCATTAGGCCTTTGAGGATGTTTTGGCTTCTTCAAAGTTACTTTGTACCAGGAGTGTTCAGAAATGTATTGGTGCATATCTGAATGTTTCCAGGAAATTTTTCGCTTTATTTGAAACTATATCAGTTGGGGATTCGACACTCCCAACATGATAAGAGTTGGTAGATCACGGGAGATCTGTTAATTTCTATGATGGCTTATAGCATCTGATGAACTTTATTTCAGGGATGTTCTTCGATGGGGAAAGAACATTGTTTCAAGCAAAACTAAGACAAAAAAACGGGCTGGTTCAGCTGTATATAACAGGGCATCTTCGCTAGAAACATTAGTAAGTGCCTTCAAATTTTGGTTTCTCCTCCAATGGTATAAATATAAATCTTCTATAAAACACTCATCTGATTCTTGGAAGTTTTCTTTCTATATATCTTTAATTTTAAAGTGGCGATGACAACTGCAAAATACTAATGGTTGGCCGGCACACCATTATTTTGTAATTTCGGCTGAGTTGTGTGTTGCTAGATATTCATCTAATATACTTTCCTTTTGTGATTGAAGATCAGATTGTTTGATAGGAATGGTCTAAAACAAAGTATTGTATTTCCTTTATAATCTGAAAATTGTTTTCAGCCTCTTCTCTAACGCATATGTCTATTGAACTAGGTTGGCTATCTCTATTTGACAAATGTGAATCGCTTGGAAAAGCTAATGTTAGAATTGGGATTCTCAGTAGACTCTTCAATGCCTTTGAATTTGGAGGAATTAATAGTAAGTTTTATATTATCCAACCTAACTCTGCAGCTTACTATTGATTTTATTGTTTCATTTTTGCTCTCCTAGTTGAATTTTGATTGAAACCCAATCTATTACGGCTGAAAAATGGGAATTGACCCATAAAATATGGAAACCGAATTAAGAAATGCAAACTGAGTGTAGCAGGAATTTTTGCTTTCTGTATGTTACACCTCTTGTTAGTACAATCTGGGAGTATTACCAAACTGATTTTCCCAGTTTGTATTGCATGGTAGGACAAGGAAAGGAAATTGATAGATTTTGTTGCAGCTATCGTGTATGAAAACATTTTAAATTATGAAAAGAATACTCAGCAGTCAGTACTAGTAGTAGCAATTGTAGTATAATCTGAATATATAACAAAATTGCCTTAGTTGGGGTGGGAGTTGCAACTGCTAAATAATGTTTCACTAGCTAATAATAGTCCTCTCTTTCCACTCCTAGACAGGTGAGCTGAACCGTTAAAGTTGATCTTTGGGTATTCTTCCACTGGAGCAGGCAAAACAACTAATTGAAAATTTTGTTCGGTCTATTTCATCTTTTGGTAAAGCATACGCTAGTAAATTGGTTTCCTCTTTTACTTGCTGGTGGTATCAGAAGCCTTTGAGATCAGTAGACATTGTAATGGCATATTTTACTATGCTAGTAGGATCAAAATACTGACAGCTTTTGCAACAGTGTATGTGTTGTGTACATAGGTTATGGTACCATCATTTTCAATTGTTAGCATTGTTGTTCTTCAGAGTACAGTGAGAAGAAAATTCAGTGAAGCTTATGTTATTTGGGAGATTTGTGTTAGGATTAGCAACTCTGGTTGAACTTGATCCAGCATTATAATTAAGTTAGTTGAATATTAGGGAACATAGGGACCAAAGCTTCTGCTGTGTCTGATCTTGTTTTGTACTATCTTATTATAAAAAACATAGCGGCATATGCCAATAATTGTTTTTGCATGTGCAAAGTGTTCCGTGTTCGATTCTATAACTCATCAATCGCAATTTTGTTTTGACGTGAACCCAAGTTACAACTAGGGTTTCAAATCTTCTTCCAAATTAAATTCAATAATTTAATTAATAAAATTTAAACATTTTAAAAACAATTTAATCAATTTAAACTTTGAAACTTTTTAGGTTTTAATATAATTTTATTTCTAACACACGCACGTACGTGCACACACACGGTTGTCATCATAAAAAAAGAGTGAGATTGTAAAAATAAGTTTGGTTTTATATCTACATATCTTTATGTTTTGATTATAACAAAGTGTAGAAGAGCAATTTTATGCACTAACTGCTTGTTAAGTGTGCAGAAACTCAAAGATTCTAACAAAACCTAAATGGAAAAGCAAAAGTTGATTAAAGCATATTCTGATCAAGGAACTTAAATTGCTTGTTTAGAGACAACTCTAATAGTTGAAGACTCTGAAAGAAGCCAACTATAATTGTCAACTCATAAGACAACAAAGGAAAATGGAAAGAAAACTTCAAATCAAAGCAAAATATGAAACAAGGTATGAACAACATCAACTTATAAGCCAAACTCTGAATGCAGACTTGAAGAAAGCAGAAAGCAGATTAAAGAAAGGAAAAACACACGATGGCCAAAAGAAAAATACAAACAAGTGTTTAAAGTAAGTCAAGCTTCAAGATTATTAAGTCAACGTTTCTGAACAGAAACCATCCAGACAAACTCTGATAAAGTTTTGACTACAAGTGTGTGCAAGTCTTAGAACCCAGTACTCAAAGGACTTTGAAGTCTCTCAATATTCTGAAGACATCGTCTGAATTCTACTCAAGGTTCACCAAGTTATATTAGAAGTTTCTGACTAGAAGTTAGTAAGTAAATGAAATATTCTCTTACAGTCAACGCATCTGAGTTGAACAAAGTATCAAATGCTTATGCACATCTTGTTCACATTCACCCTAGACTATAGTATTTTCAAGCCTCACTCTAAATAGACTTTGTAGTCTACATCATTTAGGCTCTGAACTCTTATCAAGCTTCACTTCATCTATTATATGAAGTCTCTGATTATGAGGAGTAGTTTACCCAAGGAAAGTACAATCACAAAGAGATTTTCTTATGAAAACAAACTTTAATCTCTACTCAAGCTTCAAATCACTTTCATAAAAAGTCTCTTACTAAAAAGATTTGAATTAAAGGTCTTTAGTGTTCGATGTGACAGAAGTTCAAAAAGAAAAACTACTTTTAAAGTAAATAAGATTTCTCACATCCCATCATCAAACAACTCTCAACTGCAAGTGCCAATCAACGGTTGCATATGACCTTCATACAACAGATACTTCAAAGGTTAATTCCTATTGTACGCTCCAACGAATCTATTCATCCTATATATATTCTGAAGAATATGGAAGGTGAAAGATGCCAGTCGAAGAGAGAGCAAGCATAAAGTAGAAAGGAAGAAAGAGCGTGTGGACGCAAGCATGCATGTGGATGTGTGTGAATCTTAGCAGACGTTGAAGCCATAACATCACAACATAACAAAGAGAAAAAAACACTTGGAATTTTATTTGTATATCTTTTAAGTGTAATCATATGAACTTCATACTGTGTAATATGCTTATCTAAGAAGCACACTTGTAAACACAAACTGTTATAACCCAATCTGGTTATTATCCTTAAGCGATCAGGTTGGTCAGGCTCTTGAGAGGCCAGTGACAAAAAGTCATTGAGAAATCTTCATAAGCGACCAGGGAGGTCAGAGTCTTAAGGAGTCAATGGCCATTTGGGGTTCTCAATCGATCAGGTATGTTAGACTATTGGGAAATTAGTGATAGGTTGTCGTTGCTTTGTAATCATGATTTGATTATTGGATTAAGTCCTTGTCTAAGGAAAATTACCTGATTGGTGGACTGGAGGTAGCTTAGTTAATAGTGAACCAGGATAAAATGCTTGTGTCTTGTTGCGGTGTGAATAGGATATCAAATTATTGATTAATTTGAATCACAATCTTTGATTCACAACCGGTCTTTGATTTATCCGAAGGAAAGGTTAAAGAAAGGAAAAATCTATTTTGCATCGTAAACACAATGCGGGGAGATATCTAAGTTCGGGGGTTGGTTAAGATTAGGGAAGATATTAACACCCTAAACTTTTGTAGTACTCTACAAGAACCTTTTGTTTTAATGTTGCTATTTTGCTATAATTATCTACTTAAGGGTATATGTTAAGGGTTAGAAGGTGAAAAGAAAGACCTAAATGTTAGTCCTAAGTTTACTCACCAAGACTCGCATCTTGTGCCTACGTATCCGAGGTAGGGGATGAAGTCAGAGTAACCGTAGTTCCCCTCGAAAGGGAGGAAGAGAAACTTCTTGACGGTGGTCAAGGTTTCCATGGGGAGTAAGCGTTCTTAAGGAAGCGCTTACGTGGAGCGCGGCGACTCCTATTTCTACGTTGTAATTGAATTGAATTGAAAAAGGTAAAATAGGTATTCCACTGCGGGAAATTATATGGAGTGCGGCGACTCCTTATCCTAAGGCTAGAGTAAAGGGTAAAATTGTCCACGGCGGGACGCCTAAGCATGAGTACGGCGACTCAACGTCTTATTGCTTGAAAGGTGAAAATGTCAAAGGAAAGGACTATCGACGCGACGGTCAAACGACTAGACCTACTTATTCGGAAGGGAGTTTTAACGGTGAATAAAGCAATGACCAACAATTAAGCAATGAAATTGAAATATGGGGAAGATGCGGGAATAATAAAGGAATTGCAAAGCGACGATTTCCTCGCATAAATTACAAACATGAAACTGAAATACGGAAAATAAATGATTAATAAACTGTACAACTGAGGAAAATGAAAGGAACAACATAAGCGTTAGACGAAAACAAACGGGGCAATGTTAAAGGGTCAAATTCGCAATTAGGTGGCGGTGCAAATTGAACTGAAAGTAAGATGCTTGAAACTTTGGTTAAACCTGTTTAAAGAAAAAATTTTAAAAAATGAAAGGGTTTTAAATGTCTTTCAAAAATGTTTGTTATTAAAATTTTTAATACTAATTTAGCTAAAATGAATTTCAATTTTAAAAAAGAAAGCTAGCAATTAATATTTACAAAATGAGCTAATAACTAAACTAAAATATTAATTTTAACGTCTAAAAGTTAAATCTCTTAATTAAGAGATTAAATTTTAAAATAAGTTTTAAATTATGTTTTAGTAAAATTGCGTGTTAAAAATGATTTTAATCATAAGTTCTAAAAATGGTTTTTAAAATGGTTTCCATATAAGTCTTGAAAATTTGCTTTAATTTTAGTTTTAAAAATGAGTTTTAATTTTAAAAACTAAATAGGAATTATATTTTTACAGAACTTTAATTAACTAAATTAAACTAATAAAAAAAAAACTAAAAATGCAAAATAAAAGGGGTGACTCTTGGTTGCTGAGTCATTTAGGGTTTGTGACAACTCATTTCCCCTTTTTCTTCTTCGTGGCGGCGGCGCCATTGCTGAGCTTTTCGAAGTTTTTTCTTCTTCTTCGTCCGTTTTGCTGCAACTTGCCTTCCCATTTTCGAATCCATGACCTCCTTTCTTCTTCTTTCCTGACCTGCAAAATAAAATGAAGAGAGAAAGAAAAACAAAATCACAATGAAGCTTACAGTGGCTTTTCCAGTGGTGGTAGTAGCCGCGCGGTGGCGATGATGATGAGACGAAGATTTTTCGTCTCTCTGAGCCTCCCTGCTCGTGGCTGCCGTTGGACGGTGACGGCTTGTGGCCGTTTTTGTTCTTGATGATGGTGTTGCCTTCGGCCGCAATTTGATGATGGTGGTTGTTCTCCGTTTTCGTTCTTGATGTTCTTCCCAACCTCCTCTGATGAACTCGCGAATCCCCTTTCTGATGATGATCTGATGGTGTTTTTATATGATTTTTCATCTGGGTCTGGGCGTTGTTTTATCACGATTTTGGTGATGAAGTTGTCGCGATTTGTTGCGTTTTTGTTGGAGATTGTTCAGGAACTTGATTGACTGGTTTTGGAACAGCGATTTGTTGCGTTTTTGGTTACTATTTGATGACCTGTTTTTGTTTTGGTTGCAGTGATTTTGGAAAAGTTGTTTTGATCTTGTTGCAGGATTTTACGGGAATTGTTGTTGCTTGATTATGGCTGAAATTTTGGAGGAAAATTGTGCTGTGTTTGATCTGTTTGGTTGCAAAACTTTTGGGAAATTTTGTTTATGAGCTGTTTGGCAAAAAAATCATTTTTCAGGAAAAGTGTTTTTTCCAAAAGCACTTTTTTCAAAATCACTTTTCCAAAAAAATCACTTTTCTCTCTCTTGGAACAAATTTGAACAGATATTGTCGGGTCCGTGCCGGGGTCAGAAAGTGGAGTCAGGAGCTGGCGGCAGAATATTCCGTTACCCTTCTGACGTACCCGATGATGAAATTTAACTGAGGGTATCGAAATAATTAACAAAACCCGCTTTTTGATTAAAATATAACCAGCTAACCATT